TTACTATCTGCCACCAACTTATTAATTATTATTTATCAAATCTCATGCATATAATAAAGATGAGATGGACGAAGCATTTAATGGTCGTCATTTATCTTTTACTACTATAAAAAAAGTTTTTTTTTTTGTTTTTTTTTTTTTTTTTGTTTTTTTTGTTTTGTTTTGTTTTGTTTTTTGTTTTTTTTTTGTTTTTTTTTTTTTATTTTTGTTTTTTGGGTATTAAGAAGAACGTTACAAGTAACGGCAATGCATTTGACTACTTTCTAGTTTCTACCACAAATATTTGTTATCAATAGTAAAATATTTGTGCGATAGACGAATACATTTTTTTATTATATATTTAGATAATAAAATTAAAGATTAAATTTTAAACACTTTTAATATTTAAAAGTGTATGTTTATTTAATTATAAAATTAGTGTAAAAATATTACTCAAATATAATTGAATAATATTCTTGAAGATTATACACTGAAGGTTTATGATTGGTTTATAATTGTACTTTTTTCTTTAATTAGCTAAGTTTTTCTAACTGAGTTTTCTTATAGTAAAGGCTTTAATAAGGCAACTCTTATAACATATGATTTTGAATACATCATGTACTCTTTTTTCCTCGATTAGTTTTTTCTCACCGAATTTTTCTAGCTAGTTTTTAACGAGACACGAGTGTAGTAAGATAATGTCGAAGGGGAAATGTTATAAATAATAAAAAATATATGGCCATTATCTGAGTGGATTTGTTATTCTTTCTAGTTTCAAGGATCGTACATGTTGTATGTTGAAATGTAATGTTACTAGATGAATGAGAATGGCCATGAATTTTTCTGTTCAATTTTTACATTTTAGTTTTTCTCTCTCAGTTTTATCTCGTATTCTGTAATGAGGCTTCGAACAAAGATCAATCACACATGATAATACACAACAATTATTATGACTTATTAAATGTTTTTCTAAATTTTTATAATAGAAAAGTTCAATAAACTTGATAAGTAATTATATATTTTAGTGATTTAGAAGGAAGGCTAATTTTTCAATAATTTTTAATCGGTTGATTTCACACTTAAAATCATTTAAATTTTCACAAGATAAAAGAAATTATTAAATTTTAAAAAGACTGAATTTATTTATAAATGTTACCATTCTAATCAACACCACAAGGTATTAATACATATATTGAAAGAAGTCATTTTCTTTTAATTAAGTCTCATTTGGACTGCTGCACAATTGACATCAGGACTAATCTTAAAAGGAACACTGACTTTACAATAATCCGGAATAGCTTGAACCCGTTTTAGCTGATCCGATGTGAGTTTAGAAACCCCAGCTTTCATGCACTCGCACGCGCTTTGCCTGTCTAGCTTCGTCTTTAAATTATTCACAATGGTTTGCATGGCCTTACAACATTCCTCCGGTATGGTACCTCCTCCCAACACGTAGCTCATGCACGGTAAAAGGTTGTGGACAAGGTCGCTGCATGATACCTGCGCCTCGGCGGCCCACGGCGGCATAACGGCGGAGATGATGATACATAGGAGGAGCAATGACGTCAGCTGCTTTCGGTTTCCGACGACTGCCATTATGTAGCTAGCTTTAATTTGCTCAATTTAAGAATAGGATTAGTGTGGGAATAGTTGGGAGGAAAAGGGGGTATATATAGCCGCCATTTTGCAGGTATTAGTAATTTAGTAGTGATTGTATTTATTAATTATTATCGATGATTAGGTTAAAAAGAGTTTGGTTGTATTTAAATTAAATCTTAATTATATTCAAGCCAGATAGAATAATATAGAGTTAATACTTAATTTAATTCTCGGTTATAGTGGTTTTTTCGATTTAGTCCTAAATGATTTTTTGTGCTTAATTAGGTCATCGACTTTGATGGTTTTATCCAGTTGAGTCCTAGGCTATTAGAAAAAAAAAATACTCATTAGTTAAAATCATCAAAGTCGAGGACCTAATTAAGCACAAAAAGTCATTTAAGAGTAAATCGATAAAAATCACTATAGTCGATGACTAAATTAGGTATTTAACTTTGTATTTGAACTAATATCGAATGAATTTTTTTTTTTTTTTGAGTATTATTGACTTTATGGCTCTAACCTATTATCTTCTATTTGAGAAAGTCACTTAATGTCGCTTGATCATCCATAAGGTCATTTACATATCGGTGGAATATATAATATTGTATTAAGTAAACTTTAATTTAATTTCAATTAAAGTTAATAGAGTACTATCTGCCACCAACTTATTAAGTACTATTTATCAAATCTCATGCATATAATAAAGATGAGATGGACGAAGCATTTAATGGTCATCTTTTACTAATATAAAAAAGTACTTTTCTTTTGGTATTAAGAAGAACGTTACAAGTAACGGCAACGCATTTGATTACTTTCTACCACAAATATTTGTTATCATAGTAAATTACTTGTGCGATGCATGGATAAAATTATTTTTATTATATATTTTGATAATAAAATTAAAGATAAAATTATAAATAATTTTAATATTTAAAAGTGTATATTTATTTGATTATAAAATTAGTGTAAAATTATCATATATCACTCAAATAACTGAATAATATATGACTCGTTCGTCTATAATTATCTTGGATAAATAAATATGTAATCTGATTTATGTCATCGACTTTGATGGTTTTACTCAATTGAGTAATCGGCTATTAGAATCAAGGATTAATTTGATAACAAACATTATAGTCGATAACTAAATTGGGTAAAATCACAATTTGTGCAATTACCAATTAGCTATCTTAGGGTCCGTTTGGAAACCTAAAAAATGATTTATGGAAAATATTTTTCGAGTTTTTAGTGTTTGGATGCAATAGAAAAATCTAGTCAACGGAAAACATTTTCCGTTGACTGGGGAAAATGAAGCCATTTTGACAGAAAATAACTTACGTCAAAATTTGGCAGAAGTCATTTTCCGTCAACACGCTAAGACATGGTTTTCGCCGGAAACCAACTTTGTTTTTGTTTTGTTTTGTTTTGTTTTTTTTTTTTTTGTTTTTTTTAAATTTTTTGATTATATTATAACCTTATTCATCAAATTAATTCATTCATTCCTTACTCATCCAAAGCATATTTTCCATCACCAAGAATAATATCATAAACTACACACACAGTCTTTATTGATATGAATATGTAATCCATCCAGTAGGGTTTTTTTATTGTCTTCATTTTCTGCATTTTGCTCTTTCCTTTGTAGATTGATACTATATTTATAGAGCTGATGGGTATATATCTAAATAAAATATATAAAATGTTTAATTATATAATTTTACTCATTTTCCTAAAAATAACCAAACATACCAAGACAGTTTTACAGAATGCAACCAAACACTGGAAAAGAAAATGTTTTCAGACAAATGACTAATTTTTTAGAAAACATATTCCGGATTAACGGACTCTAAATCAAGAAAAATTACTATAGTCGATAGACTAATATAAACTAGGTATTTAACTTTGTTTTTTTTGAAAGTGGTATTTAACTTTGTATTTGAACTAATACTGGAGGAATATATATATGTTTTTAGTACTATTGATTTTATGGCTCGAACCTATGACCTCCCATTTGAAAAAGTCTCTTTATGTCACTTGACCACAAGATCATTGGCATATCGGAGGAATATATAATTTTGTATTAAGTAAACTTTAATTTCAATTATAGAGTTAATACCCAAAATCGTCCTCGACTATAGTGGTTTTTCTCAATTTCGTCCTAAACGACTTTGGTGACCTAATATCGTCCCAGACTTTTGTGTTTCGCTCAATTTAGTCCCAGACTTTTGTGTTTTTGCTCAATTTAGTCTCTCATTTGTTATTCTGTCCATTTGGTGCTAAATAAATAGACAATTCAGTAATTTTAATATTGGCATCTCTTTACTCATAGACATGTGAACTGCGAAATCCTTTTTTTTTTACGAATTACTTCCAGAATTACTTCTAAAACTGCGAATATAAAATTTGATTTGTAGGTCCGGGAGTAATTCTGGGTGTAATTCGTACAAGAAAGAAGAATTTCGCACTTCACAAGTTGAAAGTAAAGAGAGATCAATATTGACATTATTGAATTGTCCCTTTATTTAACACCAATTTGACGGAATAACAAATGGAGGACTAAATTGAGCGAAACACAAAAGTCTGGGACGATATTAGGTCACCAAAGTCGTTTAGGACGAAATTGAGAAAAACCACTATAGTCGAGGACGATTTTGGGTATTAACTCATTAAAGTTTATAGAGTACTATCTGCCACCAACTTATTAATTATTACTACGTATTTATCAAATCTCATGCATATAGTAAAGATGAGATGGACAAGCATTTAATGGTCATCTTTTACTAATATAAAAAAAAGCACTTTTTTTTTTTTTTTTTTTTTTTTTTTTTTTTTTTTTTTTTTTTTGGGTATTAAGAAGAACGTTACAAGTAACGGCAAGCAATTGACTAGTTTCTACCACAAATATTTGTTATCACGAGTAAATTACTTGTGCGATGGACAAATAATTTTTTTATTATATATTTATATAATAAAAAAATGAAATTATAAATAATTCTAATGTTTAAAAGTGTACATTTATTTAATTATAAGACTAGTATAAAAATATCACTCAAATAATTGAATAATATATGACTTGTTTGTCTGGAATTATCTTAGAAAAATAAATATGTAATATGATTTATCTAATTATATTATTAATAAAATAAATATGAAAAAAGAAAAAATAATTTAATTTTAATTATTACATCTGTGCAATTAATTATAAGTCAATTATTCTAAAATTCAAGAGTTAATTTTCAAAATGGTCCTCCGACTATGATCTTCTCTCAAATTGGTTCTTTGACTTTTAATTGCATCCAAAGTGGTTCTCCAATTATTAAATTTTAAACCAAAATGGTCCTCCGCTAGATTTGGTGTTAAGTGGATGTTAAAATGAGGAGTAAAACTGGTAATTCAAGGTTTTCATTATAGTCAGAGGATTTCTTTGGGTGCAATTAAAAGTCAAATGACCAATTTGAAAAAATGCCATAGTCGGAGGATCATTTTGAAAATTTTCTCTTTATAGTTCATCATGTACTTATTTTCATTTTCTAAATAAACAATCTTTTTTACTTTAATTGTTAGGTAGAAAATTATTATATTTTTTTTTTAAAAATAAGAGTGAATTCCATTTTTGGTCCTATTGTTATATTATGGGTCATTCCAATTTGAGTCCACCATAATTATTTTTGCCACATTGTATCCACTATTATTAAAAGTGTTCCAATTTTAGTCCACGAAAAATCTAAAAATGGACTAAAATTTGAACACTTTTAATAATAGTGGACGCAATGTGTCAAAAATAATTATGGTGGACTAAAATTGGAAAAGCCCCTATAACAGTAGGACCAAAAATGGAATTCACTCAAAAAATAACTTAGAATAATAATTTTGATTATTAGCCTAGTACTTATATATAGTTGTACAAACTAACATTAACTTTGGATTAACTCTTTATTATTCAGGAATGCTTGACATTATGTATTTGGATTTTGATTTTCTATGATCATAAATAGGCATACATATAATGACGAGAAGAAAGAATCTGACTATGAACACGATGGGTTGGATGACCCAAACGATCATGCCAAACTGACACGGTGACCCGAGCTAAAAGAAAAGCGGTAGGAGATGAATTTGGAATGGGAAGCTTGTAAAGCCCCCCCAGAGCTATTGCCCCATAGAAGAATTTCCTTGGTATTGGTATCCTTCACAAAAAAAAAAAAAAAAAAAAAAAAAGAAAAAAAAAGATGGGTGAAACTCAAAAAACACTTTATTATCTGACGCAAATTTTTGGACTGATAAAAAAGATGTAGACAAACTAGAAACATGAAGAATATTAGACACTTGAAAAGACCTAGAAGGGGTATTAAAAGTAGCATGACCAACACGACTAATAGATAAGCTCATATCGTCACAGACACGTAATGTGGCTAGGGGTGTAAATGAGCCGAGCAGCTTGCGAGCGGCTCGGTCAAAGCTCGGCTCGAGCTCGGTCAAAATCGAGCTCGAGCCGAGCTCGAGCTGCTCGTTTAGTAATCGAGCTCGAGTCGAGCCTATATATTCTAGGCTCGTGGCTCGTCGAGCCGCTCGCGAGCCATATAATATATAATATATATAATACATAATATAATATAATATAATATAATAATAATATATAAAAATAACAATTAAAAATTAAAATTTTAAACTTAAAATCCCTAAAAGATTTCTATTATTTATGTATGGATAAAACAAAGTAGTTTGAATTTTAAATCAAAAGTATTAAATAGGTCAAATTTAATGTCAAAATCGAGCTCGAACTCGAGCTCAAGATCAAGCTCGAGTTCGAACTCGAACAATCGAGCTGCTCGAGCCGAGCTCGAGCAGCCCGAAAATTACCGAGCTCGAGCTCGAGCATCAATTCTCAAGCTCGATCGAGCTCGAGCTCGAACTCGAGCCGAGCCTTCATTAACGAGCTCGAGCTTGAGCCTACCCAGGCTCGAGCTCGGCTCGGCTCGTTTACACCCCTAAATGTGGCATTACCATTAAGAAAAATATTTGATGCACCGGCGATATATAGATGCTATACAGCGACGGTGAACCAAAATGCAACACATCATTAAAAAATAAATATAAGATTAATGAGGATTGTTTTGTGCAAATAAACCATAGCCTTTAATTAATTATATTTATTTATTAACAGAAACTATACGCATAAACTATTCCCAAATTTGCGAGCTTCGTCGACTTATCAAACGAATATTTCGTAGCATAACCACAAAACAACCCAAGATAGGGTTGGAGTTCAACCTTTTGGAAGAATGAAAAAAACCCAAGGCTTTGATGAGTATCCATTGAGAGCCCACTGGGATGATGAACACACTGCTGTAAATTATGGAATTTCCGATCACCTGAAAGTGATCTTATATCAAGTCGAAAGCAAAAAGTGGTTGAAAATAGCAACAAAGGTTTTTCCGGATACCAAAAGTGGTCGGAACAAGGCTTTCGACTTGATTTAAGATCATTTTCAGGTGGTAGGAAATTCCATAATTTCCAGCAGTGATACTTGCCAAGGAGAATCAATAATAATGAAGAAAGAGATTATTTTGTTGCCTGGCTGTGACTACAACTACTGACTTATAGTCATGAACTTCCCCAAAGACCTACCCCTACTAGAGAGAAGATGATGGACACTTATCTTAATACACTACCTCCCTACTATTCTTGGCATGCAGTACAGAATTGAAGAAGCACAGAAGACCTTGTATGCTTTTAGAACAACGAACCACTTATGCGAGATTTCAGTGCACCGTATTTGAAGAAGCATCATATCAAAAAAGTGATTTAATGAATGACAAAGACTTATGTGGAGGGGATGTGATGGATTTAATTACCTGAGGTGGTCCGAATCACTAAATTCGGAATAAGAACGTGGATAGAAAATGAACAAATAGAACGATGTCGTAAAGGCCGTGAAGACCATATATCGTATTATATGCCGTAAATAGGCTATTACAATGGTTTGCTGAGGACAAAGTATGTAAGGTAAGTAGAATCTCTCTTAATTGGACAAAGGGAGGGCCTTTTATACAAGTCATGGCCTCCTAACTGTCCTCCTAAATCGGGGGAAACAGTTATCCCCGCCTTGACACAATTCCGGCCGGCCGGCATGTAACCCACGTAGCAACTACGTGTCTCCACCCCGCGAGAAAATGGGCCAGGATTAAAAAGTCGAATCAACCGCCACAAAACCCGACCGGACAACTGTCATTCTGTCGTGCCACGTGTCGACTTCTGCGCGCCTCAGAGACTGCAACGATCACCTCGGAGTCTGGAACGGTCACCTCGCGCAATTGGGCCGTTTCCCGCCCAAATGTTCTCCTATAAATAGGCCCTTCTGAGATTCATTTGAACTTCTACCAACCCTCTAAGTCGATCGGAGCATCCCGAGCAAGCAACTCCAAAAGTTGGTTGAGCAATCGCAACTTCAGCTTTTCAGCGAACTGCAATCACTCAGTAAGTTCTCCCTCCTTTAGCTTTTTACTTTTCTGCTTTACATTACCTCACAATGGCCGATTACGGGCCCTAACTGACCACGATCGGGTCGTACGCGACCCTAACAAAATCCCGACCGCCCTTTAGGAAGACAGAATGTCGGACACAGACAGTTAGAACGTCTCAGGTGCGGACTATGATGACGCGGTCAAGTAGCTGAGCGAGGAGATAGATATCGAGGCGTCTTCACCAGAGGTCGTTCAACGACCACAGAAAGCCTCCAAGCGACAAAGGTCGTCTAGCTCGGAGGGGTCATCTAGCTCGAGCGGATCGGGCAGCGGAAGCGGCGAGACTACTACGAGCGAGCAACGCTCCCCGATCGAAGCCGCTCGGGAAACGACGACCCGGGTGATTGGGGCGTACCCCCAGGCCGCACCTCCGACCAACGATCGGGAGGCCACACCAGACCCGGTCGAAGAAGACCCAGCTGCCCCACCTGCACCGGCCGACGACGAGTTCGTCTTCCTGAATAGTGAGAGCGTCGAGCACCAAGAGTGCTTGCTGACGTCGGGTGAAGCAGCGAGGATTTCCGCCATGCTCAACGGTCGAGTTCGTTTCGACACCCGACGGCATCTTGGCAATATCATCGAGCGCCATCAAGGCAAATGGATCGGGATGCACTATGACTCACTGCAAGCCCCGATCGCGTTCTCCTTCTCCGCCCTCTTGACCGCGTTCCTGGGCTACTACCGAGTGGTCCCGACCCAGATCTGCCCGAACGCACATAGGATCTTGGCCTGCTTCCCACAGATCTGTGCTCGGCACGAGGTTGCGTGCACGATGGAGCTGTTCAACATCATCTATCAGGTGAAGACCCTACCGGCCAAGTATGGAGGCGGATTCCTGATGATCCAATCCCGGACGGACTTGTGCACGATCGAGCACTTGCCCGGGAATAACAAGGGCTGGAAGAATAGGATCTTCTCAGTCGAGTACGACCCGTGGATCCTCCCGGTCGAGAGGACGTGGAGCACCCACTACAGGAAACAAGTCACGCCGGTCGAGACTAAGGCCCTCTGGGATGCCGTCTCCAAGATCTCGAGCGAGATCCATGAATATAAGATCTTCCGATCAAGTGAGAGCTACGACGAGGCCCGACTGCTACCGCCGCTGTAAGACCTTGAGGAGAAGTACCAGCCTGAGCCACCGGGCGTAACGATTGCGAGGGCAGCTACTCGGGTCGAGCTGGCGAATGAAGGTCTAACACTAACTGATCATCCCCGACCCTAACTCCCCGATCTAGCTTTGACCTAGCTCTAACGATTGGTTCTTTGTTTGCAGAAATAGCACGGGGTTTCGATGAGGAGGAAGCACCCCGAGCCCCCCGAGCGAAGATTGCACTCGGGAAGAAGAAGACAACGGCCGGGTCGTCCAAAGATCAACAAATCCCGGTCGCCCGGCCACTATGCGCGACCACGACTGTCACCACAGCCGAAGGCTATGTGGTTGAGATATTTGACGTCCTGATCTCCCGGGTGGCTGCCCGTAAGGGCAAGGAGAAGGCGGTCGAGAAAGAGGCCGAAGATGGCGGCGCACTGAAGCGCCGAAGGAAGTAGGGCAGCCCGAGCCCTCCGGTCGGGGCCCTCACGGGCGACACGTCACTCCTTACCCGGATCGGCAATCTCAAGCCGGTCAAAGATGACATGACGAAGCTGACCCCAGTTCAGGTGGCCGAGAAGATTGGCCACGATCTGGTTGAGGTAAGAATCTTCTGTCTTCATATTTTCATACAACTGCCATCGCTCGGGCTAATCCCGATCGCTTTTACAGATATCCCGAGCGGCTCAAGTCCTCCAACACCGAGCGCTACTGGCCAATTAGGCCGACGCGTTAAAGAAGGTCGCCGACCGGCAATTGGGGGAGATTACCGACCTCCAAGCTGAACTGAAGAAAGCGAAGGCGGATTGGGATCTTGCCGAGAAGGCCGCCCGGGAGGCGAAGGGAGCTCAGGAGCTTGCTGAGAAAGCCGCTTAACAAGCCCTCGGTTAAGCGGCCGGCTCAAAGCCCGATTGGGTAATCTTGGCGATCTAACGCGATTCCTCTGTCGGGACAAAGCGTCGGCCAAGGACTTCTTCCGTGAGCTGCGGAAGGACAAGGTCGGGGAGGTCATTATATGGAAGTTCGGGCGTTGGGCGTTCAAATCCGGTCAAAGGAGGATGCGCGCCAAGACTCAATCGATAATGGAGGAAGTCCTCGACGCTGAGGACCTTCAGCTGGTCTTGTCAACCCTCCCTGACGAGGTCGCCGACCCCGGCCCGCCGCCGTTCGGCCTCGAAGAGGATGTACCCGAGCCGAGCAGCGCCGTGGGGAAGTAGATTAGGTCGTGTAGTTTCCGACCGTGTATTTTTACTTCTTCGATTCTTGTTAAGTGAACTCCGTCGGGAGCCCGGTCCCGATCTGTACCGGGCACTTTTTGAATGATTAATGAAATTGTTTTACACAACTTGACTCGCTCGGTTTGTCGTATTTATCTTTGTTTGTATATCGGTCGTCCTTTGCCCGACCCATTGGCCTAGTGGCCTGGTCGTTCATGTCCCGACCCATCGGCCTATTTGCCTCTAAAAAATTCTTCGGCCTTTTCATTCGGGACTTGCCCGACCGTTTGGCCTTGTTCGGCCTATTGGCCTCTAAAAAATTCTTCGGCCTTTTAATTCGGGACTTGCCCGACCGTTTGGCCTTTTGCCGCCTATTGGCCTTCAAAAAATTCTTCGGTCTTTTCGTTCGGGACTTGCCCGACCGTTTGGCCTTGTGCGTTCCTTCCTTCACCCTAGCCCCCACACTGTTGTGCACACGAGGCACGATTGAGTGCGACAGTGGAAAGAAGTTAGACGGATCGGGGATATCTTGGTATAGCTCTGGTTTCCCCGATCGATGGCGTGACCCAAGTGTCCGCTGAAGATGAGTGCATTAGCCGGTCGTTAATGTTCGGCAGGCCAAGAGGTAGATGGCTATTAGAGCCAATTAGTTGTACACCCCTATCGGTCGGGACCGAGGGAGAGGTGTTATGTGGGGCGAAAAGCCCCTCTTCCTTCGTTGATGCTAAGTCTCGATCGGGTAGATTCCGAGCACGACCGGTTGATGAAGCAGATTTAGAACAATCTACCTCCTACTTAAGCAATTGAAATAACCAATCGGGCCACTGTGTGCAAACGGTCGAGCAATCACTGATCGTATATACATTAATATTTTCCGTTTGCAGACGGTTAATAATTTACAAATATACAGATGATAAGCGATGGACGGGCCCACTTGCAGGTTTAAGCCCCCACTCCATCTATAATTACAAAAATGACTAATGTCTAAATAAAACGAGGTGCTCGGAATTCCACGTGCACTCGATCTGTCTCCCGGTCGTTGTCTCTAACCGGTAGGTTCCCGGCTGCACGACGGCCGTGATGATATACGGACCTTCCCAATTTTGAGCTAGCTTTCCCCCTTCCAAAGGCTGACTTGCCTCCCGACGGCGTAGAACGTAGTCTCGGACTTAGAAGTACCGAGGGTTAACCCGAACGTCCTTCGAACTCTTCACTCTCTTCTGATACTCGGCCATACGCCGAGCGGCTAGCTCTCTCTTTTCCTCGATCCCGTCAAGATCCACAACCATAGAATGTTCATTTTCCTCGGCGTTGTAAGATCGCTCCCTAGCGGTCGGGATCCATGCCTCGATCGGGAGTCGAGCCTCGGTCCCATAGACTAGGGCGAATGGTGTCTCCAAAGTTGCTTCTCTTGGGGTCGTGCGATAAGTTCAGAGAACATAAGGGAGCTCATCGGCCCAGCTACGACCGGCAGAATGCAACTTCTTCTTCAGACCTTCCAAAATTGTCTGGTTGGCATTCTCGACTTGTTCGTTTCCCTGGGGGTAAGCCACTGACGATCGGATGGAAGTTGTCCTGATCGCTGCAAGAAAGTTCTGAAAGTATTGGCTTACAAACTGTTGGGCGTTGTCGCTGATTAGATGAACGGGCATGCCGAACCGGGAAATGACATTCCGCCAAAGAAACCTAGCACATTGTTGGGAAGTGATCGTGGCTAATGACTCGACCTCGATCCACTTGGAGAAATAGTCGATGGCGACAATGACGAACCGTCTCCGACCAGATAGTTGCGGGAATGGCCCCAAAATGTCCACCCCCCACCTAGCAAAAGGAATTGCAGTCGTGACCGGCTGGTAGAAAGTCGCCGGTCGTCCAGGCATCCGAGCGAATAATTAGCAC